ATTGTGACTACAAAGTTGAAAGCGAAAGTTCGGAAGATTACGATGAAGAAAGTGACGAAGAAGAGGAGATGAAAGACAAAAAGCAAATGAAGATTGATTTCAGATCTAAAGATATTGACGTTTGTCCACCGGTTTATGGTAAGAAACCAGCTAATAATGAATATTTTTAATTAATCTCGCATGTTCATTTCCTTATAGAACCAAATAAATCTGAAATCAAACCTCAAAAACCGACTGTCATTACTATTGACATAAACGATAAGGAGTTTCTTCAGTTCATGAAAACGGCGTTGCCTGCAAAAAAGAATCTGAAGAATGATGCAAATGAACAATGTGATGTGAAAAAAGAGGAAGATGAAACAGAAAAGCTAGAAGACAACACCGATCCCGATTACAGTGACGGTGAGGTTGAAGATGATGAGTCTGCAGACAGTGGTGAGTTGCCCATTTTGTTGTACAGTTTTGGTTTTTTTGGGTTTTCAAATGCTAAACACTTTTCTTTTTACAGATTGGGAAGAGAATAAAAGGAAAAAACCGAAAACAACAAAAAGATCGACAAACAGGAAAATGTCGACACCAGCAACTAAAAATAACACCAAAAAAGCTGCCGAAAAATCAGTCGTCTTCCAGCACAAATGCGAGCATTGTGAGCAGACCTTTCAGTGGCCCTCCAAGCTGAAACGGCACATCGAGGTGAACCACAGCACCGAGCGGAAGTACCAGTGCGCCCTCTGCCCGAAGGCCTTCAAGACGTCCTGTGCGCTGGGCAAGCACCAGACGGTGCACAACGGCATGCGCATTCACCGGTGCGAGCAGTGCAGCAAGACCTTTCCCCACACCAGCAACCTCTACTCGCACCAGGCGACGCACGCCACCACGCGAGACTTCCGGTGCACCGTCTGCGGCAAGCACTTCAAGACGGTCGCCTACCTGAAGGAGCACCGGAAGACGCACAGCGTCGCCGAGGGCGGGGACGGGCCGGAGGGGGAGGGCCACCGGTGCCCGACCTGCGGAAAGGCCTTCAAGCAACGGCGCCACCTGCACAATCACCAGCGAGTGCACACCGAGGTGCGCCGCCACCCGTGTCCGGTGGCCGGCTGTCCGATGTCCTTCAAGCTGCCCGCGGAGGTGCGCCAGCACCAGCGGGTGCACACCGAGGAGCGCCGTTTTGCCTGCAGCCGCTGTCCGGGCGCCTTCAAAACCGCCGGCGACCTCCGCCGCCACGAGCTGACCGTGCACACCGACCGGCGGCCTCACCGCTGTCCGGTGGAGTCCTGCGAGAAGGCCTTCAAGACGAAGGAGGACCTCGGCCAGCACCAGGTGGTCCACAAGGACGACCGGCCTCATCGCTGTGACCGCTGTGGACTGGCCTTCAAGAAGCGCAGCATCCTCCAGGCGCATCTGCAGAAGAAGAAGAAGAAGTGTGAGAAGGTGGTGGACTAGCTGATCTTTGCCCTTTTTGGATATCTTTCACTTTCACTTTTTACTTTGAACATACACACACACACACACAAATACACCTTCCCCAGCACTAGTTCAAAACTACAAAAAATTGGCGGCAAACTAAAAAAAACCGCTCTAATATGTTACTGCCACTGCCACTGTGTTCCAGAGCTTTATTGTGTTCTGTTATTTGTATCTCTTTTTTACAATAAAATACGTACACACTTTTTTTTTGTTGAAAAAAGTTTACAAACGAAAAAAGTGTGGTCAACACGATGATGATGATAATGAAATGATACCAATGTTACTTGGGTTTGTTTTGCAACGTTGTCTGTTTGTTTCTCGCCAGGGTCATTCAGAAAAACCCGTCAAACTCTTTCTTGGTTGATAAAAGCTCCGTCTAATCAGAAACGTGCAAACTGACCGGTTCATATGGAAGCGGTGTGATGCCAAAAGGTGGTCATCATCTGCTGGACTGCCACTTGAAAGTCGTCGATGGTGGCCCTCAGGGCGAGCATCTCCGCGGCGAGGGCGACAGCACCGGAGAAGGTGGCCGGCGGCGACCACTGCCACTCGGTCCTCACAGCGGCAATGGCCAGGCGAACTAGACGGCACATCTGCGCCACCAGTTCAGAGCACCTCTCCGTGAGCTGCATCCAAAGCTGCTGTCTCATGTCCTCTTGTTGGGATGAGCACTTTTGGATGGCATATTTTTTCTCCTTCCGGGAGAGAAACAGCCCGCAAATCAGCATATGGTAGTCAATTAGGTTGGCTCGCAGAGAGCTGCTGCCCTTCTGGACATCCCAGTTTGCGCTTGCCACTTTGGAGATAAAGGGGAGTTGGTCTAGCGTGGCCAGAGCAGATGAAAACGGACGATAGAATTTGTCCTGCAGAGTGACTGGAAGGGCCTGCAGATGGTCGCTTGGTGGTATGAGCTGCTGCTGTTGAGATAAATTTGAGTTTGGGTCAGGAGACATGTTGTGTGTTGGCTAGCCAGTTGTAGACAGTCTATAAGTTGGCTGATATCTGAAAGTATGATCTAGTTGAGATGGTATACTCGAATTTTGATTTAAAATTCAGTAGCTGTCTGTTTTTGGAAAAAAAGAAGAGAAAGTGCAAGAGACTTCTAGTGTTTTGCACTTTCTCTCTGGTAAACACACTGGTTTAATGGCTCACTGCTCTTTCTCTTTTTAGAAAACCAACAAGAGAGTGAGAAAGAGTCTGAGACGGTTGACTAGAGCGAATGAGTTCTGCAAACAAAAGTCAATNCTCGAATTTTGATTTAAAATTCAGTAGCTGTCTGTTTTTGGAAAAAAAGAAGAGAAAGTGCAAGAGACTTCTAGTGTTTTGCACTTTCTCTCTGGTAAACACACTGGTTTAATGGCTCACTGCTCTTTCTCTTTTTAGAAAACCAACAAGAGAGTGAGAAAGAGTCTGAGACGGTTGACTAGAGCGAATGAGTTCTGCAAACAAAAGTCAATTACTACTACTACTACTACTACTACTAGCTTTCTAGTTCTCTTTTGCATACGTTATGTTATCCAACCAGTGACATCTTCGCTTCAACGACAGTCATTAGTCAGCCTTTATTAATGGAATCGGGTGCATCTACTCAAAGGTCACTCCAAAGTGTCTGCACAGTTGTGTGTTGATGTGGTGTTCACACTAAAGCTTATCAGCCAAAAGAGTTGACTCTCAATCCTGTCAGTTTTAACATATTCTACCTTCCACTTCAATAATTTTCCATTTACCAGAGTCAGCAAAACTCTCTCTAAAGTGGTGTCAACAAGCAAGACACTATCACCGCCAAAAACAACACACTTTATATGCTCAGTTTCAAACACATCTGATACCAGGCAAAAACCAAAAATGTTAAGGCCACACTCTAGAAAGAAAT